ATATATATATATATATATGTGCAAATGAACATTGCAATCTTGCAATAGCACCCTTCGAAATTCACGAATGCATTGCACCGATCGCATTCTCATGGGGGGAGCCAGGCAACACTCTGGCAACGCCATGCCGAAAAACGAATAGCAACATTGAAAAACAACCTAAACACCAGGGACACCAGCCTACACGTCATCTTTTTTCCAACATTTATTAAACGTTCGCAGAGTTGTTATGTTTTAAACTCCGCGTAACTATACTTAAATAGAGGGACCAAGTTAGCGAAGTTAGTAAGTTCATAACCTAGTTATAACAAATTATACTTACTTATAACAGACTTATAACATAGTTATCACATGGTTATAACTCACGGTAACACTTATTAACCACGCCGATCCTTTAGGAAGGGGCTCCCAGGGAACGCCCAAGAGGCCCCCCAACACACCCCAAGAAATCCTGTCCCCAGAAAACCTTCCGGGGACATGGTTAATCATGGGCCCGAGAGTTTTCAGAGGCCCCCAAGGGGTCCCCAGGGAACGCCCAAGAGACCCCCCAACACACCCCAACAAACCATGTCCTCAGAAGGCCTTCCGGGGACATGGTTCATCATGGGCCCGCGAGTCTCCGGAGACTTCGAAGTACCATCATGCTACAGGCGAGTTGTCCGGGAAGTTGATTGGGAACATGACTGATCTCGCGGCCCTCCGCAGATCGTCGTCGTCGTCGACGACGACGACGGCACGCACCAACAGACTCCCCAAGACGCCCCCAAACCCATGCTCCTAGAAGGCCTTCTGGGAACCCGATTCATACGGCCTCCGCCCCTCTACACAACCATCTTCCTCGAAGGCCTTTTCGGAATGCAGATTGGAATGCGTGTACTGTGGTCCACTACTTCAGTGGCGCAGTGAATTCGTCAAGGCCTGGGGCCTGCTAGAACCTGAGCGCGCGCGAAGCGCGCGCGATGGTTCTAGTCGGAGGTGAGGGGGTGACGGAGAGCCCCCCTACCGGGAAATCAATTTCGGTTTCGTGCTCGTGCGTGCCGTGCGTGCGGGCGAGGCGAAGCTGCGTTGGCGGGCAAGAAATAAGTCTCCTGTAGCTGAGGCGCGGCCGGACCGAAAGTCCCCGTTCCGGGGTGCCCCGCGGTGTCCCGCCGGTGTCCCGCCGGTGTCCCGTCGGTGTCCCGATGATGATGATGATGATGATGATGATGATGATGATGATGATGATGATGATGATGATGATGATGATGATGATGACGTCGATGACGATGATGGATGATGATGATAATGATGATGATGTTGATGTTGATGATGTTGACGATGATGATGATGACGATGATGATGATGGTGATGGTGGTGATGATAATGGTGTCCCGATGATGATGTTGATGATGATGATAATGATGATGTTGATCATGATGATGCTGATGCTGATGCTGATGTTGACGATGTTGATGATGATGAGGAGGATGGCGCTGGTGATGATGATGATGATGGTGCCCCGATGATGATGCTGTTGATGATGATGATGATGATGTTGCTGACAATTATGATGGTGCCCCGATGATGATGATGATGATGATGATGATGATGATGATGATGATGATGATGTTGATGATCCTGATGATTTTGATGATGACCAGATGATTTAATGGTGATGGTGAAGATGATGATGATGGTGTCTCGATGATGATGATGATGATGAGGTTGATGATGATGATGATGTTGATGTTGATGATGATGATGGTGTCCCGATGATGATGATGATGATGATGATGATGACGATGCTGGGGTCCCGACGAGGATGATGCTGATGATGTTGATGATGAGGATGAAGATGAGGTTATGATGATTTTGATGATGGTGGCTCAATGATGGTGATTATGATGTTGATATTGATGGTGATGGTGTCCCGATGATGTTGATGATGATGATGGTGCTGATGATGATGGTAACGCTGATGATGGTGTTCCGATGATGATGATGATGATGTTGATGCTGATGATGATGTTGCTCATGATGTTTATTGTGTCCAGATGATGATGAGGTTGATGATGTTGTTCATGATCCTGATGATGATGATGATGATGATGATGGTGATGATGATGATGATGATGATGGTGGAGTTCCGGTGGTGATGATGTTGTTGTCCCGATGATGATGATGATGATGATGATGATGATGTTGCTGATGATGATGATCGTAACGATGATGGTGCCCCGATGATGATGATGGTAATGATGATGATGACGATGATGATGTTGATGTTGATGATGATGGTGATGAGGTGATGATGATGGTGTTTCGTTGCTGCTGATGATGATGCTGATGATGATGATGCCGATGACGTTGATGACGATGATGTTGATGCTGATGATGACGTTGATTGTGATATCGATTGTGCTTTCGATAGTGAGATTGATAGTTAGACCGAATGTGAGATCGATAGTGAGATCGATTGTGATATCGATAGTCAGATCGATTGTGAGATCGATCGAATGGAATAGATCAAGTGAGATCGATTGTGAGACCGATCGAGTGAGATCGATCGAGCGAGACCGATAGTGAGATCGATAGTGAGATCGATCGTGAGACCGATCGAGTGAGACGTTGGTTCCCCCCCCCGAACCTCCTTATTACCCGAAGGGTGGTCGTATAGGTGTATACATATACACAGATATTTAAGTTTACAGCCCACATTATCCAGAGGAGCCACCCAGTTGTATTGCGTCGCGGCTGGGGCTCGACGGGGCTCCTTCGTCAGAAGCTGTAGAGATAATCGTTCGTGCATACCACATTTACAATGTGACTCGTACAGCTGCTGAGCCTGATCCTCACCTCACAGCAGAGATTCTGGCCAGTCATCACTATACCAGTCGCCGTGCTGCACAGGCACTGGTAAACCATTTTTGTGCGCCGTTCTAGGCCCGTCAGGAAACCCGTGGCGCCACTCTGGGTACGAGCGATATATGGATATATACCCCTTTTTTCGACTGGCCCGGTCGTCCAGGAGGCGGGGTCTGCAGAAGCAGGAGGCGCGGGAAGAGAGGCAGGAGGAAGGACAACATTCAGCACTTTTCATGCTGACGTTTGTGAACACCCCCGCGCGCCCAATTTAATATTCGCGGTTGCGCCGCGATGTGTCGATCTTTCGAGCGGCCGAAATCTTGCGCCCCGCTGGCAACGCCAACCAACACTGAATCGGGGGCAGGCGGGCGCGTAGAAGTTTGCGTCGACACCCCGATCGCGCGGGTGGTGCAGCATGTTGTCCATCAACGGAGTAGGTGGGGCAGGTAGGTCTACAATCGAAAAGCAAAACTTGTACGTGCAATCGGATTTCTGGGATCGGCGCTGGGCCCCCCTGCGCCTCCAGCGCCGCCCCTGGCACGCTCTGCACGCCAGGGGGGAATATCAACGCAGATACAAGACATCCGCACGGACCACCGAAAAACCAAATTCACGCAAGTTCTCGTTCCGCCATGCACGTGATTCGGGTGTTCAAGGGTGGCCACGGGGTTCTGGGAGGAGGACCAGCATCAGCAGAAAGACCAGGAGGAGGAAGGGGGGGTGGAGCAGGCGGGAGAGAACGAGAAGGAGGCGAAGGAGGTGGTGGAGAAAGGAGCTTGTTTTTCCATCCTCTGGCGATAACGGGTGTGACCTGGGGCGGTGGGGAGAGGGGGGGAAAGGGGGCCGCTAACGCCGCAAATCGCGCCGGCGCCGTATGGGAATGCTTAGGAACTGCTGATCCCTAGGCGGCGCCGGCGCGAATCGTGACGTGGGCGTGATCGGGAATAACAAAGAAGGGACTGGGGGAGGATGAGCAGCGACGAGTTCAAGGAGGATGTGGAGGAGGAGGATCGGCGACGAGCGAGGGAGGGAAGTGAGAAGGAGAAGGCCTTCTCAGAAGGCCGCAGGGCTTCTCAAAAGCTCTCGCGCCTTCTGAGAAGTTTCCGGTGCCTTCGGGGAATGCTTAGAAAACTTCTCAGAAGGCCAGGGGACTTTCGGGCTTTCTGAGAAGGCCTTCTCCTTCACACTTCCCCCCCTCGCTCGCCGCCGAGAGTAGGATGTGGAGCAACAAGGAGGATGAGGATCAGGAGAACGAGGAGGAGGAGGCGGAGGAGCACTATGTGAAGGAGGGAGGAAGAGGGACAAAGGAAGGAAGGAAAGAAGAGAGGCGCAGAACGGCGGGGGGATCCGATCCGAGGGGGAGTGCTTCATCGTTCGGCTCCGTCGGGGTTGCCATCGTCGCCGTCTTTGTCGCGACGAGGACGTGACCACATGGAAGATTTCACGCACCATGAGTCGCACCAGTAAGCACGATCAGCAGTTTCTCTTGATCCTTCTGAGGCGCAAGGCCAGCCGTCGCGGATTCTGGGAAGGCAGAACCAAGAGTTCAGTTGTCTTGATACGCATGTGTTGAAACGAAGCACGTGCCGTGTAACATCCGTGTTAATACGCTGCGTGTCGGCTCGGCTCCTATTGGCCCGCGTTGTGACGAACGTATCGCGACAGACCTACGTGCTCATTCTGCGTGTTGAGCTCCCTGTCAGTGCGCTGCGCGTTGCGTGTTGGGTATCGGGGCAGTTAAGACGAGGAGTCGTCGTCGTAGCGGGCGCGGTCGTTGTCCTCACGGTTGTGAGCGTACATAGTCGTCTCCGCCGTCGCCGTTTTGCCACCGCCCGCGTTTCCGCCGTCGTCGCCGTCGCTGCCGCCTCGTTGCCTTCTTGTCAGTGCCGTCGGCTGCCAGCACCTCCTCGCCAGAAGTCAAGAGCGTAACAAACGCCCCTACCCTGCTTTACGAAGCGCTGTGCGCTGAACCCCCTGTGGGCTGACATGGTAAACCCTGCGTTTCGCACGTGTCGCGCGGCGTCCTGGCGGCTCTCTGGCCTTTTGGGAGCTCCCAGGAGGTTTACAGACCGCGCAGTTGTGACCCAGGGTAGGGGCGCTCTTCCAGTTTCCAAAGAAGGGGTATTCCGCCGAAGCCCCGCGAGCCCCGCCCCCAGGTCAGCTGCACGGCCCTCTGCGCGGCCATGCGCCGGGGGCCGAGAAGGGCTTGATCGACCCGCCGATCCCAGGAGGAGGAGGAGGAGGAGGAGGAGGAGGAGGAGGTGGGGCAGATTCGCCCAGCGTCGGGCGACGGCCAGTGCAGGCTAGCGGGGTCCAAACTCCTCTTTCCGCCTCCTCTATCATGAGTCGTGTCGCCGTCCTCCTTGTGCATTGTTCTCGCGCTTATTTCGTTTGCTCTCTCTCTCTCTCGCTCTGTGCATGCGTGTCCACCGCAGCAGCATCCCCATCGGGAGTTCGAACAGGAGAGCAGGGGTCGGGCCACCGTTCCGGCCGATCCGTCGCCCCATCAGAGCAGATCCACGGATGGGGCGACGGATCAGATCGATCGGCCGTCGGGTGGGTCGATTTGTTCGCTCGACGGATCGATCGATCGATCGATCGACCGTCGATCAGATCGACCATTCCAGATCCAGGGGCGGCCGACTGGCGCATATCGATCGGTCCACGCTCTTCTGGGCTGGATGTGGACCAGGGCCAGTTGAAGTCAAGAGGTTTTGAGGGACTCAGGCGAGGCTCATTGGATAAGGACCACTTTGGATTCAGGAGGGGCTCTGGGCGGGAAACAAGGACGACTTTGGGCTCGAGGACGAGGACCACTCGGGGTCCAGGAGATCCGGGCCACCTGTGGTCTTCGGGCCGCTCGTCACGTATGCGTGAGGTCGAGGAGGGTATGCGTGGAGGCGCGGGGGAGTCCAGCTACGTGAGCTGATTCGCCAGCCCCATCTTTGCTGACCCTCCTTTCGCGGCGGCGCGCACGAGGAGGTGGCGCCAGGAAGGCGGCCTTCTGAGAAGGTCTGGGTCTCCTAGGAAGGCCGGGGGAATTCTCAGAAGACCTCACCGGTTTCTGGGACGCCTTCTTAGCAGCCTCCCGGCCCAGCGCAGGCGCCAGGCCCCATCGCGCCACCGGCCTTCGGCGCCACCCCTGGCGGGCTGCCGCGGGCCCGGGAGGAGGTTCGGGCGGAGGGTGAGCCTGCGCAGGGCGGAAATCGGCCGTCCGCAGGCGTGCGAAGTTTCTGATCACGTGTGTGCTTTGGTTCGCTCCCTCGTTGGAGCTTCCTCGGCTACGACTTCACTGCAGGCGCCCAGTCGGGCGTAGCGCACCTTCTGCGCGATTCCACGTGCGAGCATGCGGCCGCGAGCGCCGCCGGGGCCCAGGCAGACTTACACCATTTGAATGTGATCGGGTCTCCCCCCCCTCGTCCTCCTCCCCCTCCGCGGCCGCTCCTCCTCCAGCGGTTGCCCTCGCGTCTCCCATCCATGCGCGTGTACCAGCACAGAGCTCTCAGGTTCTGTCGGCACGCGCTGCTCGGCAAGCGGTCTGGCTCGGCGGTGTCGCGCGGGGGGGCCAGAGCGTCAGCCCCACAATGCTGCTTCCGAGCACCGCATTATTTTTCATGTCAGCACTCCGCGACAGGGCGCTATTTCCTTCGCGATGTAGTGTTTCTGGAAAAGCCAGGGCCCCAGGCAAGGGGAGCTGGTCAGTGGCAGGGCTCCGAAGCCCCCCAAAGATACCGCAATCATGAAACCAAATCGGCTGTAGGTTGCGTTTCGCGTGCGACTGCAGTTCCAGTTAGTGGAATATGCTGGGGGAGGCGCCCCCCAGCATATATCAGTAAACCAGGTTCCACTCAGCCCAGTCTTGCAATGGCCGAGTGTTGCTCGATGAACTTGTTTGTCATGCTGTCACAGGGTGTGGGTGGCGCTTGAGGATCGGTGCCGTTGCCCCCCCAGGAGCCCTCAGAAGTCCCAGGCGACCTTCCCCAGAATTCTTCGATCGAAAAAACAATGGTTCTGCACGGAAACGCGCATGAACACCGCATGGACGACGAGGTTGCGTCGCGGAGCTCCCGTATCGTGAGGAGCCACGACGTTGCCGATCGGACCGCGTCTGCCCGGTGCTTTAACGTGTCCAGGCCCCTTAGGAGGTATCCAACATGGGCCTCCTGTTCTGTATTGGGATATGTGCTCGGGGAGCGCTTTTCGCTTCCCTCCGCCCCCCAGGAGGCCTCAGGAGGCTCGAGAAGCGTGAACACATATTGGATCCTACGCCCCAGGGCGGGACAAGCGTGAAAACACATGGGCTCCTGACGCCCCTGGGCGGGGGAAGCGTGAACACACATGGGTTTAACGCCCCAGGGCGGGACAAACGTGAACAAAAATGAGTTCCGAATGCCCCAGGGCGAGAGATACGTGAAACCACATGGGTTCCTTACGTCCCAGGGCGGGGCAAGCTTGAAACCATATAGTTCCTAACGCCCCAGGGCGGGGGAAGCGTGAAAACACATGGGTTCCTAACGCCCTTGGGTTGGGGAAGCGCGAACACACATGGGTCTTAAGCACCAGGGCGGGACAAACGTTACAAAATTGATTCCGAATGCCCCAGGGCGGGAGATGCGTGAAACCACATGGGTTCCTAACGCCCCAGGGCGGGGCAAGCCTGAAAACATAGCGTTCCTAACGCCCCAGGGCGGGGGAAGCGTGAACACACATGGGTTCCACAACGCTCTGGGGCAGCTACTATGTGCTCAGGCAGCTCAAGCTCAAGATCCAGATCAGTTCGGTCAGGACTCGGATGCAAAGGAGGACTCGACCCACACCACTGGGTTGATGTGGACTGACTGACACTGAACAGCGACCTGAGACGGAGCGATCTTGTACTACGCGCCTTGCACGAACAGGCTCCGAAAACCTCCCCCCTGTAGGGTACCCCACGCGGGGTTGTTTTCCACGAGAAAGAACCGCCCACCAATACCCAGCACGGCGACCAATAACGGGAATCGAATCCTGGCCGAGCGGGCAGGGAGGGACTCATTGGACTGATGGGTCAGATTGGACTGATGGGGACTGATCGGGTTGACTGGCATTGGTTGGACTGATTGGAATGATGGGGACTGCTTTGGGTGATGGGGGCACGTCGCGCGGCGCGTCCCTTGGCACATCCCGTGGCACGTCCATTGGCACGTTCCGTAGCGCGTCCCCTTGGCATGTCCCGCGGTACGTCCCCATGGCACGCCCCCTGGCACGTCGCTTGGCGCGTCCCATGGGACGTTCCGCGGCGCGTCCTCCTTGCATGTCCCCTTGCCAACTAGCTTTGGTGGAGCTACTATGTCCTCAGGCAGCTCGAGCTTAAGATCCAGATCAGTTCGGTCAGGACTCGGATGCAAAGAAGGACTCGATCCACAATGCTATTCAGCACAATCGCGGCATGGCCCATCGCAATTCAGCACGGCGCAGTACAGCACAGCCCTCGGCATGGTACATCAAGATCGATAGACTCAGCATTGCCTTTGCCCGTCGCTTAATCAGGTGTATTTGAAACGTCGCCATGCCTTACTTTTCTACAGTCCTTTCTGGGTTCGTGGGTCGATCATGCTCCCGGAAAGGGGGCGGGCCCAAGGTTTTCTTGTAGTATTATTTTTTTTCTTCCCCGCTTCGGCCGGCAACATTACTTGCTATAAATACCAAACTCAAGTCCCATTCAGCGTGGAAAAAATTAGCATGCCCCTAGCGAAACGCTGGTGTTTGAAATCCCGATCGATAAACCACAAGGTGCGGGACACATTTGGGTAAGTGGCACGAATCAGTGTGTTTTCATATGTTCCCATAGAGTGGCCATCTTCAGGGGCACGAATCCATGTGTTTTTACGAGTGTTTCTTCATCCGGTCTTGATTCGTCCGGTATTAATACGTCTGGTTTTTAATTTGCCCGATTCAATCCTTCCAGTTTTATTTCGTCCAGTTTGAATGCATGCGGTTTTAAGTTGTACGGTTTATAAACTCATCGGGTTTTATTTCGTCCGGTTTAAATGTATCCGGTTTTTCATTCCCCCAGCTTCCACACGAATCACGCAAAACAGAGCAGACGAAATCGAAGCTGACGAAGTAAAAGCGGACGAAACAAAAACGGACGAAACAAAAGCGGACGAAACAAAAGCGGACGAAACAAAAGCGGATGCAACAAACGACGGTCGAAACAACAGCAGATGAAACAACAGCGGATGAAACAAAAGCGGACGAAACAATAGCGGACGAAACAATAGCGGACGAAACAGAGCGGATGAAACAAGATTCCATCGGGGGGGGGAGGAGAAGGAGGAAACAGGGGGAGGGTCGAGGTGGATGAACTTCCCCCCCTGGTGGCCCCCCGGCGCGCCGCGCAGCCGCCGAGGTCTGGTGATCCGGCGCCGGCTTCGCCGCCAGAGCGCCTCCGCGTTGTGGGTGCCCCGGGTCCGCGCGAAGAGCAAGTCGATGTGAGTTGCCCTCGCGCGGCGCGGCGCCGCGCCGTCTTCCCGGACGGCGTGCAGAACTCAGGCGCTAGGCGTTTTGAGAAAAGGGAAGGGGCAGGGGATTGAGCGGCTTCAGGTTCCTCCTCCTCCTCATCTTCCTCCTCCTCCTCCTCCTTCCTGGTCCGTAGCCGTTTTGCCTCAAGGCTCAACGGTGTGAAGGGCTATAGAGGCCCGAAAAAGTGCGATTCATTTAGGTGCCCATCTGGAGTTTTTCCCCAAGCCTTTCTGGCACCAGCAGCCCAAGGCTGGCTTCCTAGCAAGATTACCAGAACCTCTCCTTACGATCCGCGGTATTCAGCCATGCCTACAGCCAATGTCAAGCGCCACCATCGGACACGCGCGTCAGCGAGTCCAGGTTCCCTGCATGCGACTGCCAGTCCTTCTCGCGGCCCACCCACACGGTACAAGATGGACATTCCGATCAGCAAGCGTCATGGTGCAAGGCAACGCTCCCGCGGGGACGATGATGACTCTCTACACTCCGATCACAGCCGCAGAGCCCGCAGCAATGGTGACATCATTGGCGTCAGCGACACACCCATTCCAGAACGTGCTCTGTCGTAGATGACTGACCTTGTCAATGACATGCGTGCAACCAGCTCCAGAATCATCGCACTGGAGCACCACATGGCCCAAGACATCCAGCACGTGCGGATTGCGATCCAGACAACCGGCCAGAACATGCAGATTCTCAGCGCGAGGCTCATCTCCGTTGAAACCGACAGGGGCAACGTCATCGAGTCAGCCGTCAAAGCCGCCTTGGACACGAATTTGGAGTCCATCAGTTCAAAGCTCACCCAGCTACGCTCTCCCTGAAGCTTCGTCGGTAATCAGCTCATCCAGCGGAGCCCCCTCGCGTGCTGCTGCTGGTGCTGCTGCGCCTGGCCCTCTCGATCGTGGCAGTGATGACTACTAGCGCTGGATCTCCACCTTTTCCTCGCTCGCTGATCAGATGTCAAAGGTCTGCGTGCGTGGTGTCTCATCAAGAACATCTTGCCGAACGACCTCGCGAAGAACGTGCAGTCTCAGTTCAGCGATGTCGCCAAGTCGTACTCCCTCATCCAGTCGTCTGCGACGGCCGCCCGCGATTCTACGGACACGCTCCAGGCCCACTCTCTCTCTACTGGGCGGGTCAGCTAGGCCCCCAACACGAAATGCGAGTCCGTTAAGACCTTCCCCTTGATGTACGAGCGAAAAACGCGCAGCAATCAAGCTCTGGTCTGGCACTCTGGAGTTGTTGCTTCGTGACCACTACGCCGACGGCTACAAGCTAGGCGCGAATGGCTTCCAAGGCCCGATTCATCTGACAAGTGGTACGGACGTGTGGGAATTGTTTTGGGTCAAGGGGTCCGACTCCAATGGGTTCACGCCCGAGCCAGTTTACTCCAGGTGGGCCACCCAGAGCATTAGCAAGGCCGAAGCCGAGGTTATCCTCGTTCGTGCTGCGACGGTTGCTGCTCAAGAGCAGGAGGTATTTCAGCGATAACGCCAGGAAGTGGTAGATGTGAATGAGGTGGTTGGTGGGGCTTTCTCAAGCTGCGACGCCTCTTCCCACCTCGCCTGCAGTGAGACCAGTCTGCTGCGCAGATTTCCCCTCCGCCACAGGGCGACCATGAGCCGTCCTCCAAGTCAAGTAGTTATGGTTCCTCCTTTACCCTCTCCCCGAGGCCTGACACATCCAGTTGAACTCCAGGCAGTTTTCAGCCGCGGCGTTTGGGAGCTTCCACTCGTCACTCTGATGCTGTGCCCGAAGGGTTTGCACGGCCCCCCTCTTCCCTTTCCTGCCGTTCGAGGTGGCCGCCTGGAACGTCCAGACTCTGTTCGGGAGCGTCTGGGGCGACCGCGCGCAACACAAGCTGACCGCCGGCTTCCTCAAGTACTTGATAGACAGTCTCCTGCTCCGACCAGCTCCGACGGTTTTGCGGCCAGTGACTTATAGAAGGCACGTTATTCGAGGATCGTTGCGCTGGCGGCGCCGTCGCCCTTCCCGCACCGAGGGCCATCGATGTCTTCCCGCGCAGGCAGTGCTCGACATTTGTCGCTGGTCGACGCGGCAAGCTCATGCTGCGTGGCCCCCAGCGTGCTCTAGAGGTCGCGAGCCTGCGTCTGGGCCCGTCCTGGTCTCAGCCCGTCCGGAGACAAAACGCTGAGGACGAGGCCGCCTTGCAGACCTTCATCAGGTTATAACCACACGTGGAGGTGGCTTCAGCTTCGAAGAGGTTGGCGAGGGCCGCGCGCGCCTTGCTGACTCGCGCGCGGAGCTCGCCCCAGACCAGATCGGGAGATTCGCCCAGCTCCACTTCCCCAGGCCCATCGAGGTTACGACAGCGATTCTATTTTACAACATGAATGATCACTGGGGGGCAGATCGTCGCCCTCGGGCGCAATGACCGCCTGTGCCTCGCGTCGCCTACGCGCGAATTGCTCGACCTCGCCCTGGCGCCTGGAACGACTTGGGACATTGCCCGATAATATATGCCGAGCGACCGCGCGGCTCTCTCTCTCTCTCTCTCTCTCCTTCTCTCCCTCTCCCTCTCTCTCTCTCTCCTTTTTCGTCGTTTCTCATCTTATATTTCTTGTCCTCCCCCCCTCTCTCTCTCTCGCTGTCGCTCTTTGTAAATATCTCGTCTCCCTCTCTCTCTCTCTCTCTCCCTCTCCCCCTCTCTCTCTGTCTTGTTCTCTTCCCCTTTCTTCGTATTTGTTGTTGTCTCTTTCTCTCTCTTTCTCTTTCTCTCCCTCTCTTTCCTTCGTTTTGTCTTTCTCTTTTTCTCTCGCTCTCTCCCTCTCTCTTTCGCTCTCTCTCTCTCTGTCTCTCTCTCTCTCAACTGTGGCCTGTCACGCTGTGGGTCATGAAGGGGTGCTGGATGTATGCCGCCATTTCCAGCGAGGTACCGTCACGCCGAAGACGGGTGCAGGCCTCGCTTAACCCACCTGGTGGGCTCGGACCACTGCGATGCAGGATCGCCCGTGGGGGGGCCCTTCGCCCCTCTCTCTGCCGCCTCTCCTGGCAGTCCGCCCGAGATGGGCGTGTAGGGCCCCTTTCACCCGGTTCGCTCTGGCCAAGGAACAGGGCGCGCCGGCCGTTCGCCGCCGGGCGCGCGCGCGGACACCCGCGCGAATCGGTCCGATCTCGTTCTCTCTCTCTCTCTCTCGCTCTCTCTCGCTCTCCCTCTCTTGTTCTTTCTTGTTCTCTTTTTGTCGTTTCTTTTGCTATGCTCTCTCTCTCTATCTTTCTGTCTCCATCTCTCTCTCTCTTGCTCCCTTTCCTCGTTTTGTTTTCTCTCTCGCTCTCTCTCTCTCTCTCTGTCTCTTCCTGCGCGGCGCGTCTCTGACTGGCGACTGGCCATCTGTTCCGCGCTGGGTCACCGCGCGCTCGTCCCAGCCCCTCTCTCCTCAAGTTCCCCCCCGTCTGCCCGGGCACGTCTGCGGGGGATCGGGGATCTGATTTGCGGAGGGGTCTCCGGGGCGAAGCGTGCATCCGAGGCCTTTGGCCCGAAAAGCCCCGGGGAGGCGGCGGCTCGGCGCTCAGATCTGCTCCTGGCCTACCGTGATCCACGGTTCGGCAGTGCGCCGAGGGTCCATCGGGCTTTCTCATCTCTCTGCGACTTCTTGTTTGACAAGGGCGTGTCTCAGTGGAGTGGCTCCACGAGCTTCTGCCGCGAGCTACCTGCCCGCTTGGTCAAAGCCGCGAAAATGAGGAGCGAGCGGCCCTGGCCTGTCTGCGCGCGCGCAGGAAGCCAAGGTTCACCGTCTTCATGCATTGTTTGCTGCTTGGGCCCCAGCACGCCGTCGCCGGCTTGCAAAGGCTGTCATCAGCGACGAGGGCGGGGCTTGCTAGCGCGGCGCTGGGGCCCAGTTGCTGTTGGCCGCCCTGTTGACGAGGCCTGTTGTTCAAGACTCGATCCCTTCAGTCGGCCGCGCTCGCCCTCCACGCTTTGGAGGGTCCCTTTCGCGCAGTTTGAGCCGACGCTTGCGCGGAAAGAGGATGGCGCCCCTGGGTTCGACGGGATCGATTACGGTGCCTATCAGGTTGGAGGCTCCTTGATCGCTGACGCGCTTGATGATAGTTATGTACCTGCGCGCCCTGGGCCCTGGAGATACCCCTCCTGGTTATACGTGCGCCCTAGCGGGTTTCCTCCCGAAGGGGTCGGATGATCCCGGTGCCCCGGGCAAGGTTCAGCCACCCCAAGTGCGAGGCCCTTGCCCTGATCGAACACGGGTGACAAGATTGCCGCGAGTGCTATGGCAGCTTTTTTGGTATACGTTGCCAGCTACAGCGTAGATGGTGCGCAGACTGCCCAGCTCTCTGTCCCACAGATGATGGGGCACGTTAATGAACTCGACAGTCTGCTTGCTATTGGCGGCGCTGTAGGCCTTGGGCGAGCATCTGGCGCAGCGCCAGTGGATGTCGCTGCAGTTTCCCGTCTGCGAGCTGGAAGCTCCAGCGGTGCACTCTAGCCACGCAGTTTTGAAACGCATCGCGATCTCTACCAGGGGAGCCCTATGAGTGGCAGACCCTCCTGTTCGGCTCCACAAGCACACCCTGGAGCTCGTCGTCCCCTCACAGCTGCTCGGCTTTGTCAACGACTCAGCCATGTATTCGGCCGATATCTTCAAGGCCGTCCTCGTCTCCATCGGGGCCTCAGGTCCGTGGGCTCCATATCAGGACTCCAGGCGAGCGTTGGTAATGCCGTCGTCATCATCCCCTATGACTATGTCAGCATGTCGCTAACTCGTTCTCGCAACACGGCTTCGACCCATCTGTCTTCGAGCGTCCCATATGTGAGACATGTTCTAGGATCAACGTCGGCCGTGGGTGAAGGAGTGTTTCTTGGGCCCCGCCTGCCTCGTCGCTCGTGTGCCGCGCGCGACGCATGCGCTCCTTGGGCTTCAGTTTCTCGCTCAACCCCGTCGCGTACAACACGCGTGCAGCTCCAGTCATTGCTCATGTTGTCCGGTGGTATCCAAAGCCGAGGAGTGGGGTCTCCAATTGATGCATGCTTCCCCTTTTCAACCCCTTCGCCACGAAGGTTCTAGGCTTCAATCCGCAGGTGGAAGATCTCGCCACCGCTTGTCCAGCCGCCGCGTACCGATGTGCCAAGAGGCCCACTGCCCTGATTCGCATGCAAGAGAGACTTCAGACCCTTCTCGACTCTGATGAGTACGTGGTCAGGGTCTGCGTCGGCAGTTGCTTTTCGCGTATCTCATCCGAGTCCTCGGAGTGCCCGACGCACGCTTCCAAGTGAAGACCCAGGCCTCTCTAGCTCGTCACTTTCAGCGTGAGGCCATCCAGGTCCAGGTAGCCTCCTCTCGGCCGCGCCGCTGGCCCCCCCTCCCCCATGCGTTTTGCCAGGAGGAATTCCCGACCAGTCCGCCGATTCGGATCGTCGCTCATCTGCTCCCCGCTTGCATCCTGGAGACTTCGGTCAATGGAATTGTTCTCAGAGGTATCGGTTGGGTACTCAGAGGTGTCGAATGGATTGGTATGCTACTGGGGGTGACCATCAGTTCAATTGTTTTCGGCGCCCTGGCTTCCAACCCCTGATTCTAGCCTTCTACCCCTCTCTTCCGACCTCCTGGGGCCCAGCCAATGTGTCAAGCCAATTCGTGCTAGGACAGATCCCGCGCAGTTCACCCGAGGAGTTTCTACACGTTGCTCTCGTTGTTGGGTGCATGTTCTCCGGTTTGAAAGAGATGCGCGCCCATTCTCCGCCTTTACTGAGATGCGCGCCCGCAGCCAAGAATGCATCTCTGCTGCTCGGAGGCACACGGCAGCCCGCAAACGTTTTCAGGCGCGGCTCTCTCCCACCATCCGCGCTCAGTTGACCACCAGGCTCTTTCTTGGTCGTGACCGCCTGCGTTCGTCCTTTTCTCTTTGGGAGTGCTGCTCCTCCCCTTTCCTGGTTCCTCCTCTTCCTACTCCCTCTCTCCCTCATCCTTCTTCCTCATCCATCTCCATCCTGACACCTCCCTCCCTCCCTCCCTCCCTCCCTCCTTAGGAACTCTGCAATGTGAATGCGATTTTCCTTTATCCTCCAACTCCGCGTAATGTATTTAACACACAACATTTTAACATCAGATTTGTCTTACATTTCTGTCGAATACGATCATCTTGGTGGGCTCAAGATGTTCGTTTTTGCTGCAGCGCGGGCCTCATTTCAGGATCGGTGTTGCGCTCCCGTCGTTCAGAATGGTGCTTACGTGCGCCGAAGCGTGGGCCGGATTTGTGAATCGGAGTCTGTCCTCGTCAGTGTCGCCCTCGTTTCCCCTCTTCCGCCTTTCCCGTGGCATCCAGCTCCTCCCTCTACACCTGCTCCTGCTGTTGCGACCGTGGATTCTGCTCCCTCTTTCCTCATCCTTCTGCCCATCATCCTGTTCATCCTCCTGCTCATCTACCACCTCCTCCTCCTCCTCCACAACCACCAATGTACACAGTTCCCCTTTCATAACGCGATGAGGTCCTTTTGACGGGTTGCGGGTCCGCTGTGACACCCGTCGGCGGACAGAGAGAACGGAGTGCCGCAAAGGGAGGTACGGGGAGGGGAGGGACAGGATGTCAGATGCGGCGCGAGCGCCTCCTCCTCCTTCTCCTATCGAGCGCGCTTGGCGCCCTTTTGGAGCGCGGTGTCCGCCAGCTAGTGCTGTATCCTCCTCCTCCTCCTCCTCCTCCTCCTCCTCCTCCTCCTCCTCCCCGTCGCCCCTCCCCTTGGGCGGCCGCCCCCGGCGAGCGGCGCGGAGGTGCCTCGCCGTGCTCGCTCGCTGGCTTCCGGGGGTTCCCTCGCTTGCTTCGGGGTGCTGCCCAGCAGCTGCGCCTCGCCTTGGAGCGTTTCGGGGGGGGAGGGGGGGGGCAGCTGGCCGCAGGAGGCCCGAGCAGTGCGGCCCGAGAGTCGGGGTTCCCCCCTCGCGTCGCGTAGCCATCACAGCGGGTGTCATTGTTTACTCCGCGGCCCCTCGCTGCTCGTCCCCCCTCCTTCGGCCGCTTCTTCTGTCCTGTCCCCTTTTCCTAACACTGCCCCCGTTTGGTTCGCTCTTCCGTCAGCGCGGTTGCTCCGCCTAGCCGCCGGGACAACATCACCCTGTGACGTACCCAACCCATTTGCATTAAGTGGCAAGACGGGTTGGCCCAAACGTGCCAGGACAATGACCGTGCAGGCGCCATTATATGTTGTGCAAGCTACATGGGATGCGGTCACGCGGCACGATTCACATGACAACAATAGAAGGACGAGGAACGAGCGCCCTGGCTTGAGGAGGACATGGGGGGCGGAAACGAAGGGTAGGCACAGGATGCGTGAGGGGCCGACCCGTCATCGCAGCAGCAGCAGCAGAGGGACGGTGACAGGGGGCAGAGAACGAGGACGAAACTGACGGGAGGAGATCGAAGAATGTTGCCGTTGTCGGTAGTTGTTAGACATGCAGCGCTGCCTGCGCCATGTCGCCGCGGCGCTCGACCAAATGGTTCAATATGCTTATAGTTAGTGCAAGAAGCGGGCGAGGCCTAGCTCGCCCGCCAGCTTCCATGCTTCCTTCCCGCATTCTTCAGTTCGGGGGCTAAACGCTCAAAGGCGCGCCGCCAGGTTTGGGGGCGGTCCGCGACAGCGCCCCGCTGGATCCCCCTGCAGCCACCGAAAGTGGTGACAGTTTCGCAGATCGCAACCCCTCAGCGACGGCGGGGTCTAATCTGGGTCTGGGTGGTGCCTCACCCAGCTGAACCGTCCAGCAACCCCCGAAAGTGGCGACAGACTCGCAGATCGCACCCCCCCAGGGACGGCGAGGTCTGATTAGAGTCTGGGTGGTGCCTCACCCCGCTGATCTCCCAGAAGGCTTCGAAAGTGGCGACAGTTTCGCAGATCGCAGCCCCCCAGGGATGGCGAGGTCTAGTCTGAATCTGGGTGATGCCTCACCCTTCGAAAGTGTTTCACAGATCGCAGCCCTTCAACGATGGCCCCCCAGGATGGCGAGACCCAATCTGAGTTTGGGTAGTGCTTCAGCCCGCTGGAACCCCCAGCAGTCCTCGAAAGTGGCGACAGTTTCGCAACTCGCAGCTTCCCCAGGATGGCGAGGTCTGATCAGAGTCTGGGTGGTGCCTCACCCCGCTGAACTCCCAGAAGGCTTCGAAAGTGGCGATAGTTTCGCAGATCGCAGCCCCCCACCCCTCGAAAGTGTTTCACAGATCGCAGCCCTTCAACGATGGCCCCCCAGGATGGCGAGACCCAATCTGAGTTTGGGTAGTGCTTCAGCTCGCTGGAACCCCAGCAATCCTCGAAAGTGGCGACAGTTTCGCAACTCGCAGCTTCCCCAGGATGACGAGGTCTGATCAGAGACTGGGTGGAGCCTCATTCCGCTGAACTCCCCAGAAGGCTTCGAAAGTGGCGACAGACTCGCAGATCGCACCCCCCCAAGGATGGCGAGGTCTGATCTGAGTCTGGGTTGTGCGTCACTCCGCTGGACCTTCCAGCAGCCCTCGAAAGTGGCGATAGTTTCGCACACTGCAGCCACCCAAAGATGGCGAGCCATCCTTTGAGTCTGCGGCGGGTACCCACTATGCTGGTCCCAACAGCAAGCTCCAGAAATTGCGACAAGTTCGCAGATCGCCCCCCGCCCCCTCCCCTCCCCCCCCCCCGGAATGGCGAGGTGTGATTTGAATCTGCAGCGGGTAACCCACTACGTTGGTCCCCCCAGCAACCCTCGAAAGCGACGACAGGTTTGCATATCGCAACCTCCCAGACATGGCGAGGTCTAATCTGGATCCGCGGCGGGTGCCTGCTATGCTGGTCCCCCCAGCAGCCTTCGAAACTGGCGACAGTTTCGCAGATCGCAGCCCTCCCCATTGTCGGCGAGGTCCACTATGAATCCGCGGCGGGTGCCTGCTATGCTGGTCCCCCCAGCAGCCTTTGAAACTGGCGACAGACTCGCAGATCGCAGCCCCCCAGGGATGGCGAGGTTTAGTCTGAATCTGCGGCGGGTATCTACTACGTTGGTCCCCCCACCAGCTTTCGAACGTGTCGACAACTTCGCTGATCGCAGCCTCTCAAGGATGGCGAGGTTTAGTCAGAATCTGCGGCGGGTAGCCCACCTACGCTGGTCCCCCCAGCAGCCTTCGAAATTGGCGACCGTTTCGCAGATCGCAGCCCTCCCCAAGGATGGCGAGGTCGAATCTGAATCCACGGCGGGTGCCCACTATGCTGGTCCCCCCGGCAGACTTCGAAAGTGGCGACAGTTTCGCAGACCGCAGCCCCCCAGGGCATGCCAGATTCACACTTCGCAGGCACCACAGGCAAGCCACCAGGCGCACAGGAGAGGAGAGGAGAGGGGAGACGGGGAGGAGGAGGAATGGGGGAGAAGGGCGGAGACCGCAGTGCCAGATCCAAAGCGAGAACCCAACGCAGAAGGGTTGGGAGAAGAAGTGCTCGGCCTCCGGGGCTCCAGCCCCCCCTTCGCGCAGAGCCCGGATCCGCGAGCGCAGCGAAGCAGGAGGGGCTCCCGTCGACGCGCGCGCGCGCTCTCCCTGCCGCCCGCCCGCTCACAGGGTCTGCTGCCCCCCCCCCCCCGCGTGCAGCCCGCGGATCCCCGGCCATGGCGCCCGCGGCGGCGCGGCCATGGGCGGCGACGGGGCTGCCCGCCCTCCGAGCCAGGCGACGCCCACAGCTCGCGACGGCCAGGCCT